CTGGCCACTGTGAATAATGCTGCTACGAACATCAGTGTGCAAATATCTTTTCGGATATGGGTTTTCAAGTCGTTGGGGTAAATAATCAGTAGAAGGATTGCTGGACCATATGGTAGATCAACTCTTAGTTTTTTGAGGAAACTCCATACTGTTTTCCACAGTGGCTGTACCAATTTGCAGTCCCACCAGCAGTGTATGAGAGTTCTTTTTTCTCCACATCCTCTCCATCTGTTTATTTTTTAAATCAATCTTTTTTTCTCTTTATTCTTCAGATTTAATAATTCCTATTAATGTATCTTTAAAATCACCAAACATTTTCTTTGTTGTCTCTGTCCTGCCTATCAAGTGAATTTTTATCTGATATAGTGTATGTTTCAGTTTTACAACTTTCCTTTGATTTTTTAAAAATGATTTTACTGTTTCTGTTGTGAACATCTATCTTCACATTGATTTCAAGTGTATTTTCTTTTACCTCATGGAACATAGTTATAATAGCTGCTTTAAAATCTGTGCCTGCTAATTCTAACATCTGGTTTGCCTTGGAGTTTGCATCTGTTAGTTGTATTTCCCTTGACAGTTGGGTTTATGTCTCCTCCACCCCAGTTCTTTGTAAGTTGAATAATTTTGGATAGTATCCTGACATTGTGAGTTATATTATTATATATCCTGGGTCCTGTTATCCTCTTGGGAATGCTATTTTTACTTTTGTTTGTTTTAGCAGATAGTAAGCTCTCTCCTTTATGACCCACAGGAGTCCATTTTTTAGTTTTATTTTTTCAGAAGTATGAGAGTTCTATTATAAATTTATCTATTATACCCTCATTCCCTCACACACAACTCTATAACTAGGACTTGCCTTCAATAAATTTATTTTAAAAAGAATGAAAAAAAGAGTAAAACTCTATTTTTTATGTATATCATTAGTTTAAAATATAAATTAAAAAAATTTTAAAAATAGTGGTAAAATATATATAACATAAAGTTTACCATTTTTAAGTGTACAGTTCAATAGTATTAAGTATATCCATATTGTGCAACCAATCCCCAGAACCTTTTAATCTTGTTAAACTAAAACTCTATGCCCATTAAAAAATAATCTCCATTTCTTCTCCCTCCAGCCCCTGACAACCACCATTCTACTTCCTGTCTCTATAAATTCGATGCTTCTAGGGACCTCATATAATACTGTATGTGGAATCATATAGTATTTGTTTTTTTTTGTGTCTCAAATTTCATCCATGTTTTAGCATGTGTCAGAATTTCCTTCCTTTTTAGGGATAAATAATGTTCCATTGTATGAATATGTTCTTTGTTTTTCCACTCATCGGTCAATGGACACTTGGTTTGCTTCCACCTTTTGGCTATTGTAAACAATGCTGCTGTGAACATGGACATACAAATAAAAATATATCTATTTTTGAGCTGAAAGGCATCATAGCTGTGCTATTTCTCTGTGGGATTTGGGTAAAATTTACTTTCTCTAAGCCTCAGTTTCCTCATATGTAAAATAGAACTGGTAATAGTTATCTCTCAGGATTGTGGTGAGGGCGAGATGAGATGTTGCAGGTAAAGTACTCAGTACAAAAGTGAGCACACTGTTGCCGCTCCACAGATGAGATTTGTAAAGGGTAAATTGCCCAGTTCAAGCCTCTGGCCTTTTGATTCTTCATACTCTAGGCCCTAGGTTACCATACAGTTTTTTTTTCCTGTAGCGGAGCACTTTTGAGAAAGAAAGGGGCCATTAAATTGTTATTTATATGACGGCCATATGACTGTCCAGGGAAAACCAGGAGATGTGGTCCCTCTATCTAAAGTCCACTCTGCAAAATGGTTAATAAAGCTGAGGCAGGGGTCATTTTCATAGGAGGACAGCCTTGACCACTCAGCAGTTACCCAATCTCTCGTGGTAAAGTCAGAAGATTATGGGAAATCTCTGCCCTGGGGGGCAGCAGAGTGACTTTGCTTCTCTTCCACCAAAATGTCTACAAATTGCTTATCTTTAGATATATTAGCCTGGAAAGAATTGAGGGTTTTTTTTCCAGCTAAAATCATCCAGCTAGTATGGAGGTCCCCTGCCTTTCTAAGTCTGGCTGGATGCAAAAGCGACACAAGTGGGGGCATATTCGGCCTGCTTTGTCAGACAATAAGGCTAAAGTGACAACCTTGGACCTGCCACCTACAGTCATCCCAGCTGTAGATCATAATTGACCCCCTCTTTTCCTTTCCCATTACAGGAATGAGCCCTTCTCTGGTGCCCTTTACCCTCAACTTTACCATCACCAGCCTGCGCTACACAGAGGGCATGGGGAATCTGGGTTCTGAGATATTCAATACCACAGAGAAAATCTTGAATCGATTGGTGAGAACCCCTCCAATGTTCACCCTCCAATGCCTACTTTTGTTCTGCCTAGTTCCTTGGCCCATCTGCTTACCTTCCTCTCTTTCATTCCCAGCTCACACCTTTGTTCCAGAACAGCAGTATTGGGCCCCTCTATTTTGGCTGCAGATTGACCTTGCTCAGGTGAGAACATCAGAGTAGGTAATGTGGGGATGGGGGCTGACCATGAGCTGGACCCTAACATGCTGAGCCCACTATCCCAAACACAACTGACAACTAGCTTCCATTCTGTCTCTCATTGTTTCCCTGATCAAAAATAGAGAATTCTCTTAGTCTTTCCTTCCCAGGAGATAAGGTCAAACTTTTCCGAAAGATCTTTCTTTAGAACTCATCGAGAAGCCAATTTGTCAATCATGTCAGCTTTATTATGATAAAGCAGTAGTTTTCAATTAGGAGTGATTCCACTCCCAGGGGATATTTCACAATGTCTGGAGACATTTTTAAAAAATTTTATTATTAGTTTCAGGTATATAGTACATTGGCTAGACATTTATATAGTTCATAAAATGACCCCCCAATTGCTCTTTCTCTCCTCTGGCTCTCCGCTTAGCCATTACATTAATGTTGACTGCATTCCTTATGCCATGCTCCCCATCCCGGTGCTGCCATGACTCAAGGGTGGATGTTGCTACTGGCCTATAGTCAATGAGGTCAGAGATGCTGTCAAATGTCCTACAAGGCACGAGACAGTTTCCCAGGGCCAAGAATTATTTGACCCACAATGTCCATTGTTCCAAGGTTGAGAAACTTTGCTCTAGAGGATACCTAATTCTCTCTTTTGCTTTTGTCATATTTTGGCTAATAATTGCTATTACAATACCTAGCAAGCTCTCACTTTTCCTACTATCTCCCAGCAATAACCAAATCCTGACCAATCAGAGGTGGACTTGAGCTGTCTGCCCATCCCCAGAAAAATTATTGAGCAATAAAGCACAGTTGTTATACAGATTTATTTGAAGTCTGACATGCCTATGTTCAAATCCTAGTTTCCTTATTTCAAGCCTGTGTGACTCTGATAAGTCACTTAACATCTCTGTGCTTCAGCTGCCTTATCTATCAATTAGAGTGTCTAAATTTGCTTTTCTAACAAATTTAGCCCATAATTCTGCTGGATGATGATTTAGGCTGAATTCTGCTGGGAGATTCTCCTGCCTGGGTTGGCTCAGCTGATCTCAAATTAGGCTCATTCATGTCTGCAGTCAGCTGCTGGCTGGAAACATCTTCATACTCTAGGCCCTAGGTTACCATACAGTTCTCCTTCACATCCTTTCATTCTCCAGCAGGCTAGCTTGGGCTAATTCACATGCTCAGAGTTCTAAGAGTAGCAAGAAATGACAAACTCGAATGCACACATGTTTTCTAAGCCTCTGCTTGCATCTCACTTGCTAATGTCCATTAGCCAGTCATGTGGCCATGCCCATATTCAAGAGATGGGGAAATGGACTCCACTTCTGATTAAAGGGAATAATTTGTGGCTACTTGTGTGAGCACAGTAAGGATTAAAATGAAAGAACTTAACACCTGGAGAACATGCAGTAAATTGTTCACCATCTTTCCTTGACCCAGGTACTGAGAATAACTCCAGCATGTGGGAACCCCCAGATGTGCACTTGGGTTACCTTACCTCTTGTGTGATATTTCCCAATCACTGACCTTTTGTCTAAGGATGGAATGCCCACATCTCCAAAGATACTCTCATAATTTTCTTTCCATTATGATGCTATTGTCTTACCCTTTCCACTGGCCCTGAGATTTTTCTGGCTCTGGGATACCACACAGCCCCATTCCTACCCCCAGCCTAGGCTGGCTGCTTGTCCTCAGTGTTGCCTTTAAAAAGCTCAATCATTGAAAAGTCTATTCATATCAAGAATGTTAGCCCTCTTAATACCTAACAAAAATGGCTTCCTTTTATTGAGCACTTACTAGTACTAAGTGCTAAAACAATGAGCCACAGAGAGTTTGAGAGACTTACCCAGAGTCACCTGGCAATTAAATAGCAGAGCTGGGATTTAAGCAGTCTAACATTGATTTTTTTTTTAACCTTGTCCAATTCCCAGATGCTTTTCTTCCATCCCCTCTATAATGCTTTCTTGTTAGGATGTGTGTTGCCTTGATATGATTGTCATTTTAAAGTTTAGCACAAATATCAGCATTTTGAGATGCTATATCCTCTGCGTTCAGGGACCTTGGCTATTCTATTCATTTCTAACCTTTCCTGAGCATCAAGGCCCTTGCAGCCTGCCCATAAGTCCTCCTGCTTCTCTGGCCCCCAACCTGGAGTCCTCACCTCTTCATCCCTGTCTCCCTTCTTCCCAGGCCTGAGAAAAATGGAACAACCACTGGAATTGATACTGTGTGCAGATACCGTCCTGACCACATGGGTCCTAGGCTAGACAGAGAGCAGCTGTACTGGGAGTTGAGCCATCATACCCATGGTGTCACTCAGCTGGGCTTCTTCACCCTGGATAAGGACAGCCTCTATGTTAATGGTGAGCATCCTTTTTGTAACCATAAGTTGAAGCTGAGATTCTGCCTTCCAGAGGGAATGTATGCTTTCTATTTTGTCACGGGACCCATCCTATATGTGGTATTCTGCCTGAACAATCTCCCTTTGTTACTCAAAGATGCCCATAGACTCTCCAGTTTGCAAATCATTCTCTTTCACATCTCAGCATTCCAGGGAAGTGATTTTTCACTTGTCTGAGGCACAAAAGCCTTCCTCCAGACAGATGAATGACAATAGCCCTCTGGCTAGAATAAAGGTAATGAGGATTCAAGAGTCTAGCTATTCATCTATCTCCCTACCAATATCTCAAAATCCCCTCTAGACCTTAAGAGGCACAGTTATCAAACCCATGTTCTAGAAATGTTGACAGAGTTAACTTTCCAAATAAATTGTAAGCCCATGAAGACAGGGACTGAGTCATAGATTTCTCAGCCCTTTAGGAACAACATATAGTTGCTCCTGAATCATAACTGTTGAACTGTATAGATATGAATCTCAGTTTGTGGTAGGGGCTTGTGTTCCTCACCTTGTATCTTGGACATCCTTTCCCTGCTTGCATCCTAGTACTGTCTACTTTTCTCATTGCAGGTTATACACATCAGACCCCAGTTACCAACCCCAGTGGTGAGTACTTAGGGCCCTGATGACCACATGCTCTGATCCCCTTGTGGATAGCAACTGATTCCCTACCCAGGGCCTTGGCAGTGGAGGAAGCCAGAACACCTGGTAGTCTCACTCACCTCTTCCACATTAATGGTTTGGGCTGGACAGGAAAGATGCACGCAGAGTTATTCATGCTACACTCAGAGTTCCCATTCTTACTCCAGACCATTTCTCTTCAGCTACTGTGACCTCCATGCTCTTCCCAGGGACCTCGGTGGTACCAGCCCATTTCTCCAGTTCAGGTAGGTGATTTCTCTTTCTAGTTGTTTCTAGGAAGCCTCAAAGCTAGAACCTGAGAATTGTAGAGAAAAGCTGCTGTTTCAGGAACCTAAAGCTGCCATGGGCACCCTCGGCTTGTTCTGAACTCCTCAAGAGCAGAGAATTTGACCTACTCATTTCCCAGCTATGTTTACCTTGGACAATTTACTTACCCTCTTGGTGCCTCAGTTTCTTCACCTTCCAAATGGGAATAATAATACATTATAAGGTTGTCGGGAAGGTTAAATAAAAATGTATGTAAATAAACTTAGCACTGGGACTACCAAGGAATCGAGTTCAACAAATATTTATTAGGCACATATTCTGTGCTAGGCAGAAAGAACAAGATGTTAAGTCAGGTGTGGTCCCTTCCCTCACCCAGTTTTCAGTGTATTGAGAAAGACCAAAATCGAATGTGCAGTTATAATTGATAATAGTTATAAAAGAGGAGATTCCAGTCAAGATGGAGGACTAGGTAGATGCTGTGCTTGCCACCTCTCATGACCACATCAAAATGACAACTAACCTACAAAACAATCATCACTGAAGTCTAGCTGAACAGAAGTCCTACAACTAAAGACATATAGAAGAAGCCACCTTGAGACTGGTAGGAAGGGTGGAGATGCAGATTGAGCTGGTCCCACACCCACATGTGGTGCTTAAAAATTGGGAAAGATGTCTTGGCTGTGGAGGTGCCCCCAGAGGAGTGAAAGGTCCCCGTCCCACACTGGGCTCCCCAGCCCAGATTCCAGCGGTGAGAAGAGAAGGCCCCACAAAATCTAGATGGGAAAAT